TGGCCGGCGGCCTCCCTCTGTGAGAACGCCTGGAAGGAGACGCACCACAAGCCGGGCACACAGGATGCCACTCCAGCCAGGCGAGTCTTCCTGCCCTCACCGGCCTGCGCCTTATGCCGTCTGCACTACCAGCAGTTTTCTAGTATCACTGCCATGCAGCGCACAACTCGGCCACAATCAAAGACGAGCTGTACTGGGGACTTGGACAGCATGGACTGAAACAGGATCAGACTTTGATACCGATATAGCTGGCAAGATGCGGCAAGGCCGCCCCCAGACCCCCCCTTGGGGAGGGCTGGACCTAGGCCGAAGGACCAGATCCCGACCATGGGCCCGTAGACTACCCTCTAGGTCTACCCGATGCAGACGAGGGCTGCACAGAACGAAAAGACGAACAGCGCGCCGGACAAGCTACTGCAGCCTGCCTTGTGCCTGGTACAGCGAAGTAGCCCTCCGAACACTGACGGCGCTCATTTCTGCAGCCATTCTTCTGCTCAGCCCGGTCGTTGTTTGCCTCTTCCCACAGCCAGACCCGCACAGAGACTTTAAATCGCTGGAATCCTCCAGCTCCTTGTTATCCCCTGATTCCTCGACTCGTACGCACGCGCATTGCTCATCAGCCTTGACACAAAGGAGCCTCCCCGGTCCCAAGTCCGGGGGCCGCCCCCACAGGCCCATGAACCTTCCTGTGTGCAGGATAGTACTACGTCTTGCATTGCTTAGCACTCAGCTTTGGGGGCTGGCAGGTGTGAGGGTTGGGGAGACAGTCGCGAACTCCCCTGAAGTCACTTCACTTGCACTTCAAAGGCCGCACAGCGCGGCGAAGCCTCGCGCGCCCGTTTTGACGGACTACGCTGTCCCACCATGTCTGGCTACTGACAATCGAGTGCAGAAACGCTCTTATGCCAGGTTCCTTCGACGCCTTGCCATATACGGCAAGGCTACATACCGAGGCCAGACCTACACACGTCCCCCGGGCCCGGTGCCCGCAACTGAATCAAATGCTCCACTGCAGGACCCCGGTTCC